GATGGTGGTCATCAGACCCTTCTCAATTCCAATGCCCTCCTGGCAAATGGAGTTCAACTCACTTGCTGCACATGATGTGCTAGGCTTGCTAGAAGCACATAGAATCCGACAAACCCTGGATCAAAGGCACAGAACAAGCAACATCTGCTGGCACCCACAGGAGTAGCAAAACTTTACCAAACTATTCCCCTTAAGGAGACCTAAGTCATCCGTCCGAGCCAACCTTCAAGAGCACGTGCACGACAGGAGCCAAGCAGTTGGTAGTGCAGGAGGCATTGGACACCACGTTGTGGTTGGCCTTGTCATACTCAGTGTGGTTCACACCGCAAACCTCAGTGAGGAAAGCAGCCACGCGAATTCCGAGAAAGCTATCTTTGCACAATGTTAATCACAATCACTTGCTATTGCCCTGAAATAGTAAGCCTGCCAGGACCATGTACAATTCAGATCAATTCAGTACAGCTTCTTTCAATAGGGTGTCCAATGTGAAAACCAATCCACGCATTTGCAAGCAATTTGAGAGGTCCTACGATGCTAATGTTAGAAGTGGGGCTGCATTTGAAGGTGCACGACATTTTCACCAAGTTTTCTTCCTGACACTGTTGCGTCCAGGAGCCAGGGTCTTCAAATCACCCTTGCCAGGGGCGGAGATGATCACCTTCTTGGCACCTGCCTCAATGTGTCCAGCGGCCTTGGTATTTCACAAAATCATTCTCATTCTCATCAAACTGAGCTCGCTAACCAAACAATTTGCCAATCAACCTTGCGCAAATTCAACACAGAGTGATCTGCTTTTGCACATTGATATCCAAGTGTTGCACCTTCTCCGCCTCGACGAAAAGCCCAGTGGACTCAATCACATACTCCACTCCCATTTCCTGGAGGGGTCAAACCAATGAGACAAAAAAGAGACCCAAGCAAGTGTGAACAAACATGAATGTGTCAGCATCAACACATCATCACTCTAATCAATCCCATGAATCAATCCCTCATATTTGAGTCTTTCCATGTCTTTCCAATGTCCACAATGGTTCAGTCCTTCCATGGCAAGGCCTTGGGACCCTCTCGGCTTGCTTGGATGCACTTGATCTTGTTGCCGTTCACGATCAGCTCGTCCTTCTCACCAATCTTCACTTCGTGCTTGAACTTGCCGTGCACGGTGTCGTACCTAGCCGAGATGGAACGTTAACAGCTGGAAGTGGGCGGCAAGAGGAGCCTTGTGTTTCCTCATTGGACCTTGATGGTTTATGTTGGTTGTTGAGACTTGGCAAAATAAAAACTCAGCCCACTCACCCCACTGCATTGCTACCTGCCAAGGCTAATTGCTGCGCAAAGCACTTCATCTGATACGCAAAGTACTCTGCATCGGTAGACATATCCACCACACCAACCACATCCAGCTTAGTCCCGAGGAGACCCTGGTCACAGATGGCCTGAACTCATCTGAAATCCGCACGGCAAAGAATGATGAACTCTTTGGGATTGCTCCACGAGGCAACTTTGACAAATCAGAGGCAACCAAGGGCCAACTGGCCTGGAAGACCATGCGACCAATGCGGCCAAAACCGTTGATGCCGATCTTGGTTGCCTCAAGTAGTGTGTGCAAAATCGTATACAAAAACAACATGACAAAACATTTCTGTTTGACATCCATCTGTTTGTTGATGCAGCTGGGGAACCATGACGCTTTGCGAGGATCAAAATTTGTTCACAATGTAGGCGCTTGAACAAAGAGGGCTAAGAACCAAAAGAACAAGAAGTTGAACGGTGGCACGCTGGAAAGAGAAAAAACATATATTGCAAAAGAAAACACTCAGCTTTCACGAGCTTATGTCAGCTGCAAGAATTTTCTCTGCATGGCGCAAGGCGCAAGGTGTTTCTTGGCGAATGGCCGAAAATCAATCGCTTCTCCAGCGAGGCAAGACATGTCACAAGAGACAGCGGAGCACTTCACCATCTGGCGAGTCCGCCCCTTTTTGGCCTTCTTTGGGCAAACGCATTGCTCAATCGATCTATACTGCACTTAAGCGGCAATCATATACATCAGCAAGTCAACCACACGGTTGCTGTAGCCCCACTCGTTGTCGTACCAAGACCTGAAGTGAGAGTGAGTACATAGAAATTGTGCGGAGTGCAACTTGAAATGACGCTGGAACGTCAAGAACTGTTGGGTCTATCCGCTTAGCGTGCCAGCCAAACGGCACAATCTTGAAGAAGCGCTTCTCTCCCTTGAGGTTGTTCTGCAAGGTGGCCTTGGAGTCATAGATCGAAGAGTTCCTCAGCTGGAGAATCTGTCTGAGACTTGTGCTAAGCAATCCCACAGGTCACTTGATGATGAAGTCTCGCTGCTTTGGGGAAAAATAGAAACTATGTTTCGCCATGATTTTACTGCCTTGACAGCCTAAGCTGGTCCAGGCACACATTGTGGATGAAGTCGCTGGACACCAACTCCTCATCAGTGAAGGACAGAACTCCCTTCATGTAGGTCTCTGACGCCTGTCGGCCAAAGGGCAAAAATAGCCTTGTTGTCGAACAAGCGTGTTTGGAAATATGGCCACACTAGGCCCGTGTCTGCGTTTTGCGGATGCCAGGAACATGCGAAGGCCGAAGACCCTCAACATATGTCTGCATACTTATTACTATCATGATCTATCATGTAATGATGAGACTGTCTGCGAATGTCTCATGGAAGGATTGAGCTCCGACATACAAGCACAAAATAAAGCCGAACATCAACATCCTTCAACACTCTTGGCATCTCTCAGCAAATGCAACCCGCTCCAAGTTGGCTGGCGCCCGAATCACAGCCCTCGTCCCCGCAAGGCCTTCTTCATCAAAGCATCAATCTCCTCGATGGAAGTGTCCTTCTCGGAAGTGAAGGTGAGATCCACGACAGAGACGTCAGGGGTTGGCACACCTCATTGATTAGCATGCGCCTTTTCTTGGAGATAGGCTATTGCAAAGCAACCACCATGAAGCACGGGCTGACTTGTCTGACCAAAACCCATGGAGTCGTCTAATGCGTGAACTGAACATTTGCATCGAGGGGCGGAAAGCCATACCAGTCAACTTGCCCTTGGTGCTCGGGAGCACTTCGCCGACGGCCTTGGCAGCGCCTGAAACAAATGGGTGTGGATTGAATCAGGAGATCTCCCGAGAGAACCTGAGGGTTGTGGGTCTTACTCTTTTTACCTATAAATATATATATATATATGCCACACCCATTGACAGCATGTTAGCCTGTCAGACTGATTCCACCCGTGATGGCAAGAGTTGAACAACACCAGCCTGTCGCGGATGGGATGATGTTGCAAGATGCAGCACGTCCACCGCGCCAGTCCTCACATGTAAAAAACTAGAAGCACATGAAACATGTTTGACATGTAGAGTCGTAGAGCTGCTTCTCTCTGCTTGGAGAACTTGTTGCTTGCTTAATCCTCTAACCCTGTCGCGTTCACTCGTTATCTTCATTGGCCTTGCGGCATTACACACATTGAACGTTGAACAAAAATGGTGGCTGTGCAGGTGTAAGGAAAACAAGTCTGCATGAATCATCATGAATCAATGTATCTTGGCAAAACACACACGAGGCTCCTTGGCAGAAACGCCATCCACAGTCTTCTGGGTTGCGGTGCAAGAGTGGATGGTGGTCATCAGACCCTTCTCAATTCCAATGCCCTCCTGGCAAA